TTATCAAAGTTAACTTAATTTTATAGTTTTCTATCATTGTTTCTCTTTTTCCTACCCAATACCAAACTGAAACGGCATTTTAAGGCCTTGTGTTGTCTTGATCTGAGATACGAGGATATATTAGATCAAAATATGAATGAAATTAATTATCATTGTCAATTCATAAAATGTGTGGATTTATCTCCAATCAATCTTACTCTTTGGATCTTGTGTCCAATCCCTTTGACATAAAGCAAAAGAAACAAAAAAAAAAACAAAAAAAAAAAAAATAAAAAAAAAAAAAAAAAAAAAAAAAAAAAAAAAAAAAAAAAAAAAAAAAAAAAAACAAAAAAAAAACAATAAAAAAAAAAGCATACTATTCATTAATTACTCCAACAATCGTTTAAGTCCTTCAGGAAAAAAAAGTATGCCTAAGTGTTTGTCATCATATACACACTAAAAATTATGGGCACGTGTTGGCGTCCTCATATGAATAAAACATCTAGATTCTCATGTGCGGTGTTGAAGCAACAAACTTCAGAAAGTTCATAGCACTCCATTTCTATAAAAGTACAAAGAAGAAAAGATTTATTTATTGGTCATTGATCACCTTTAAGTTGATATTATTTATTTATTTTTTGTCCCCCGCTTGAAAAGTGGGGAATATTAATTGGGGTTTGTCCGTCCGTCCGTCTGTCCGTTTTTCTGTCTGTCTGTAACGCTTTCGTTTCCACACGATATCTCGAGAATCCTTTGAGCTTTTGCGATGAAATTTTACATAGCAACTCTCTAACAACCCTTTTGATTTTGAGGTTGGTCAAGGTCATAAATAAGCAAATTCTGTCTGTTATAACACTTTCGTTTCCACACGATATCTCTAGAAATTTGAAAATGAAATTTTACATAACAACTCCCGGTGGCCTAAGGAAGACCCCTATTGATTTTGAGGTCAAAAGGTCAAAGTTCAAGGTCGTAAATTTATACATTCTGTCTGTGTGTAACACTATCATACACATTTTGAGCTTATGCAATGTAATTTTATACCAAAAAAATTCTCATCTCAAAGTGCGTTTGTTTTATTAGTATTTATAGTATTACATGTCGCTATTTTTAGCAAGGGGCACGGAGAGATATTGTATAAAACAGTTTCGGCGGCATGTTCTTATTACATCTATTAGAACTGTTTAATAAAGGCTAAATAAATTAAACACCATGGATTGTGTAAAATTGTGACTACCGAGCATTAATATATACATGTATGTGACTTCACTTCTGAATATACTTCACTACATTTATAGCGATTCCGTGGTCTAGTGGTATGTCTCCCGCTTCACATGTGAGAGGTCCCGGGATCGAATCTCGGAGGATCCTTTTTTTTTTAACTTTGCTTTTTTATGAGGTTATGAAATCATCATTACAGTGTGATAAATATTCCATATAAAAAGAATCTTCTATACACATAATAAAGAATAAGCAATCAAATCTTTAAACGCATATTGACATACTTGTATTTTATTTGATTCAGTATACATGTATACATTTAATAATTTACAAATTCATTATTAAGCGGGGGATTATTCTCTGAATTAGCTTGTTTTTACAAATCTCCCACAATTTAAATTTGGGAAAAACACAAATAAGGATTTATATATTTAGACTTCCTATTGATTAAAGCTGGTGTATGTAATTGAATTGAGATCTTATTTGCAAGGGTATAAATGGATTTAAGTACTTTTAAAAAATAAAATTCTACATACAGGGCATACAGACTAGTTTGTACATAATTTACCACTAAGATGCTATTCATCAAACAAGGAAAAGAATATGTAGTGGAAAAGTTTTAAAAAAAAATGTATGCATATTTTCGTTCACAGATTCTCTCTCCTATATATCATAATGATAATTATTTTTTTTAGCTATTTGAAATTGATTTTTTGTACATAAACAAATTCATTTATCTGCAAATGTTTTTATCAAGTTCAAGAACTTTCGCATTAAAAAAATATTAACACCAGATTCATTTACATAAAAATCAATTCTTTCATTGGATTAATTATTAAGTTTTGTTCAATACACCTCTATGATTCATTGATTGCAGATAATCTCATCAAAGGTACTGCGACATTTATTTTCTAACTTCCGTCAATTTAGAGGAAATTCGGATTAAAAAAACATGTGTATGACCATAAAACCCAATGAAATTTTATAGTTAATAGTCATACACACAATATCATACTTAATTGTATTGTTTAACTTATTATTCATGCTCAAGCATAACTACTTACCCCTTTATCACCGATCTCAATATCATCAATCCTTGACGTGGCCTCACCAGTAGACTCCATAGCGATTGGTGATCAGCAGATTTAGATTCAAAAATATTGCGGGATTATTGCTATTGAATTAATTCAATAATAATCTTAGGATTATATTGGCCAATTTAACAGCAAGAAATAATTCGTTTTATCTATTTCCGACTGAAATATGAATGTCTACTTGCGGTTTTGTTTTGTGAAAAACAAATCTATATTATTAGTAAACCAGCATAAATATGATTTTAAGTAGGTCAGTGCTGGTTTTAAAATAGGTCAATGCTAGTTCTATCCTTTGCTTGCTGATGCTGATCCCAGTAATGTTGTTTTTTTTGAATGCTGATCCTGATGCTAGCTCTTTCGTGATGCTACTTATGATTATTCTGGTTTATGTAACAAAATTAGTTCCCCTGCACTGCATATGTATATATATCGGAATTGTATTAAGTAATGTACCTGTAATTTGATTTAATTTGATAAATTATTACAATCGAGATTTAAAGAGTACAGAAGAAATCGGAGTATAAAATATAAACATAGCAAGCCAAAACAAATAACTTTAAAAAAAAAATCAAAACAAAAATTTGAAAGAATCAATTTGACTGTACAAAATGTTATGTGATGCTTTTATAAATAGTCGTCAACACACTTTGCAAGATAACGATAAAATGTTATCTAATTTACTTTAAAATCATCAGTATGACATTTTTAATGGATCATTTTAAAAGACACCTTTGTTTTTATGAAATTCTTTTCATCAGCCAATGTATTGATTGAAGTCTGGAAAAATCAATCCATATTAGATTTACTTTAAAAAAAATAACAGTTCAAGTTCAATTATTCACTCAAAACCATCTAAAATATATGGTGCATGATGACAATGAAAAATATGTACAACATATAAATTCAGGTCTGAGGTATTTAATGAATTTCAAGTTGCACGATTGTATGTTTTCTTGGTTGTACGATAACACACAGAAACGTTGCTGATCGCCAAAACGTGATGTGTACACTTCAAAACTTTATTTTGACACTTTTGCTTGAATTGGGAAACATTTATGAATTAAAATGTATTTGTTAGTATGTTGTTTGTTGTCCCTCTCGAGAATTTTTCACTCATATGGAGATGCCACCACTTGCTGATAGAGAGCGCTGCAAATTTTATCCTTCACGTAGTTGGTGCTTAGGACCATTGAGCAATCAAGGATCCTTTTCATACCAACTCTCACCGCGATACATTCGACGATCTAAAAACCCAAGAACTGCAAATGTGCCTTTTTGAATGTCGATTAATACTTCATAATTTTTTCTTGAAGTTCAGATAAAGAGATTCTTGAGTTTCTGATTGACAATATCTATGTGGTTTTTGGAGACCAGGTATTCCAACTATCTACTGGAATTCCCATTGGTACCTATTGCGCTCCGTCATTAGCAGACCTAATTTTGTATTCATATGAAGCAAAATTTGTGCAAAATTTTATACGTGAAAAGAAGAAAACACTTGCTGTGCCCTTCAATTCGACTTTTAGATATATCGACGAAGTATTGTCAATTAAGAATTGTAATTTCCATTCCTACGTTGATACGATACACTGTATATCCTAATGAGCTTGAGATAAAAGATATCACAGAGTCTGACACATCTGTTTCAAACTTGGATATTTTACTTGAAAAATACATTAATGGTAATCTAACATCAAACTTATATGATAAACGTGATGACTTTAACTTTTCTATCGTTAACGTCCCTTATGTATGCAGCAATATACCTTCATCACCTGCATACGGAGTATATATATATCAGTTGATTCGATACGCAAGAGCATGCTCTGCATATGAACAATTTCTAAAACGAGGTAAATTATTTACAAGCATGTTGATGAAACAAAAATATCAGGAGACTCTTTTAAAGTCATCATTTCGTTAGTTCTGTGGTCAATACAATGATCTTGTCAGCAAATACAGTTTATCATTGAGTCAAATGCTAACTGACGTTTTTCATACTTATTGTTAGTCCATTATTTATACACTGAATTGACAACAAATTTTCCCGTTATTACCTGATCATGACAAGGAGCACACGGCGGATGTGACCGGTCAGCAGGGGATGCTCACTCCTCCATGGCACCTGATCCCACCTCTGATGTTTCGGAGGTCCATGTTTTCTCTGCTCCTATTTTGTATCGTATTATGGACTTTAGGATTGAACACTGTTCGTTATTCCATATTCTTCATATACCCGCGTGAATGCAGGGTAGTGAATTAATGTACAGTATATAAATATTTTCAAGTTTCAGCATTTAGTTCTAATTTTCGAATGCCATTTTTTTTCTGCTGGCAAATGGTAAATAATATATAATTTATTGCATCTATAAGTTAGGAGGAAGGGGGGGGGTCGGTTTTCAAGGATCATTTTAAAAGAAAAGGATATGTTTCAAAACAAAAATGTAGAGAGCCCCCCTTCCCCCTGTTGCTGATCGCGCGGTTACAAACATGAATTGATTATAAAAAGATATTCAATTATCCATTTCTATAAATAAATATATTTTAAACTAACTCCTTGTAGTTTTTTTTAGATGAGAAATTTCAGCAATCTTTGCATTCATTTTATACATACAAATTTCCATGTAACAGGTACTTTTTCTCTGTAAATTCATATAAACCAAGATTAATTCATAAACTCTTGTAAAAATGCATAAAAGGAAGTCTTTGTGTTGCATTCAATTCGACATTATGATATTTCGAGGTCATCAATACAGTGAATTCCATTTACACGTCAACTCAGTGTACATGTATCCAAATAAAATCCAGGTAAGAGATTCCACACAGTCTTTCACATGTATATTTCATATAACTAGAAAAATACCTTAACTGAATCTTTTGTTTCAATGATTTTTTTCTCCCCTCTCTCTCTCTCTCTCCCATAAAAACACCTGTTTTTTTTGTTGATAGATGTATATAATGCTGTATGATGTGAGAATGAAGAAAAATAGATCACTGCCCACAAACTTTATACATGTATATTAACAATGAATAAGTACACAATAAATGTTGATAAATAAAAACTATTTCCTCCTTACATTTTGTTAAAACAAATATAAAAAAAGGATTACTTGAGTTCTCTCTCGGCTAGGATTTAGATTATTACAGTAATATTGCTCTTAAGGTTGGTCGCGGGTTTACTGCATGAAAATTCTTACGAGAAAACATATCCTGAGAATTTGATATAAGGTTCCTTAGAATTTACAGCGTATTATTTGCATTTTTTATTAAATTTGCCTACGTAGTTTTATTGCTATATTACTGTAAACGCAGTATTGTTGTTAGTACTTTTTACGCTGTACTATTGAAATGTATTGGAAAATGACGTTTTTAAGCCAATTTTGTGAAAATAGTCTCTGTATAACTTTTTAAAGACGTAGGCGAATTAGTCAGGAATTTCAAAATGTCAGGACGAGGTAAAATCAAAACTATTATTATAAAAAAAAATAAATATGTCTTCTCGCTAGACTTTTCGCTTAATAATTTCAGTTTTCTTTTATACTGCTAAAATTGTTGCGTTTATGGCGTTATTGATATCTACAACGTCATTTGTTGAACGTAGTCAAGTTTACAGTACGAATATAAATATCTTGACCTTTGGAATATGCATGATTTAAAAGGCGACAAAGATACAAAATTAGATTTTATTCATCATTTTATTTATTGCGGAGACATATTAGGATGACCAGCAACTTATTTTCACTAGTATTGTGAAATTATTTTCTGGATCACAAAGTCAGAATAAACTGTATAAACATTCCGCGTGCATGATAATTATTATACAGCGGCAACAACGCGAGTGAAAAAATATTAGTACCTGTATTTTTAGGAAATTCATGGTCAATAGGATTTAAGGCATAACAAAAAAATTTGATCACTTTATTCGTAAACGGTAAGAAAAACATCCCGATACTAAGGAAATAAGCGGCCGGGGGGGGGGGGGGGGGGGGGGGGGGGGGGGTGCAATGTTCTTTCTATATTCGTCGCAAGCTATAGTATTTGGCCCTAAATCTCAAACCTTTTTTTTATTTCGAATTCTCTGAATCGAATTTCAATACGCAAAATGTAAAACACTCGCATTTAGCTTTTACACTTTGAGCTTTTGTTTAAAAAAATATAGAGAGAAAAACGTGATACTTTTAAATTGTTTACAGTGTCTTATAGGTATTACAGTACCCGTGCCTGTTTCACAAACGTTTCTTAAGATATGTCGTAAGATATAACTTAAGATATACCTAAGTTAATATGCCTAAGTTAGAACTTAGGAAGTTCCTCAGATTGTTACAGCTGTTTTACGAAACAATCTTACCTTAGATTTTTCCTTAGTCTATTCTCAAAGTTGTGCTTAATGAAATAACTTCTCCGCTCTATCTACAACTCTCAGTATCTCACTCTGGGTTATATTTTTAGCTTCGAAAAGGGAGGGGATTATCCCAACTTTTACAGGACTTGGACAAAAGTATGTTTTAACTTTGTGAAGTTTGCTTGTTTAAAATTTAATACATAACAACCAAACAATAATGATAATGATGGTGATAATAAAAAATAACAAAACATAAAATACATGTAATTAAAATTAATCCGCTTTTAGTAATGAGGATTGATTCTATCCTGAAAATTATACGCATGTTCTCGCCATGGCTTTGATCAGCAGTCATGATACAATACGCATGTTCCCCTGAGTTTCAAATAACGTGCGCACATACAACCCCCCAATATTTCCGCTAAGTAATTTTTATTCATGATACATGTCTTTCTACATACCATAACTTTTACGCTGATTTGTTCTGATTGACTTTCAGCAGTAAGTTACACTTACAATTTAAATTATTCCTTTCATTTGGTATTGTATTTAATTATTCCTAAGACATAACATACAATCACATATCAGAATTCAGACTGATATTTAAATATAAGACATGTACAATAGCATTTACTTTGTATTAATCTATTTGATTCGTACAGAAATTTCAACGTCATTTGCAGAGAATTAAAAGGGAAACAACATAACGTTGCCTTTGTGACGTAACTGACGTCATAAACAAATGTGCATAAAACAACCGCTCGAATCGTCGAAATTGTGTACCAAAATTGATGACAAAAGCAAACCCACGACCTTCCTTAAATCAAGAGTCTTTGCCGTAACTTAGTCACACAATTATAACGCATCGTTTGAAAACAAAGTAAAAATATATTGATGAATACACGGTTCCCCGGTGTATAGATATTGTTTTTATTATCGAATAAAAAGAATTAAATAAAGCGATTTTTACAACTAAGAATCATTCCTGTAACAACTCAAGTAAATAAAAAAGTGATGAATTTCGAAATACAGTCTGACGCAGGCGAAGTACTTGTATTGAAAACCATGCATTGTAAAAATGTTTAACGCCTTCTAGACCGAAAAAAAGAGAAACAGCCAGCAGTTGTTCTCCTTGACTTATCAAAAGCCTGTCCCAGACCAGTTAAATACTCAACTAGTTCCGTTTCCTCTGCTTCCTTGGCACAATGGAGAACAGTGCGTCCGTAAAGATCCTTTTTATGAAGCAATTCTGGGGAATTCTTTATTAGTAACTGACAAATTTCTATATTTCCTGTCACACATGCAATGTGAAGAACATTTTTCCTTTCATTATCTTCTGCAGTGATGTCTATATCCTTCTTAAGAAGATATCTTAAGAAGTCCAAAGCCTGAACAAAGGAGGCTACGTGTAACACAGTCCATCCATTTTTGTCTCTTGTCTTCAATAAATCAGGATAATGATCGGTTACATACTTACACATCTCATATTTTTTACTGAGACAAGCAATATGCAGGATACTTTTACCATCATTTGTCAATGTAAAAAGATCTAAACCTTTTGTGACAAGAAAAGAAAACATTTCGACATTCCCACCAGAGCAAACTGAATGTAACACAGTCCATCCTTCGTTATCTGTGACGTATAATAAATAAGGATGCTTATGAATCAGATATTTGAACATTTTCATATGTTTACCTCTTTCGCAACATATATGCAATACAGTCTTTCCACTATCAGTTGTAGAGTAAATATTTAGAAATCTTGTCGATAAGTATCGAAAAAGAGATACGCTTCCCCCTAATGATGCAGAATGGAGGACATTTAATCCATTATTGTCACAAACATCCAGAAGCCCAGGGTTTTTTCTTAAAAGATAACTACACATCTCATAATGACCATTTTCACACGCGATATGGAGAACAGATTGTCCTAATTCATCTCTTCCATTCGCTTTAGGCTTTCCTCTACCTGCTGAATATGACATCCTATTTTGTGACATCCTATTTTCTTCCTCAAAAATATTTGATATATATTCAAACACATCGATTTTCCCAGAGAAAGCTGCCCAGTACAAGAGACTTCTCCCTTGATTATCTGTATGGTAATGGAGTAATGCAGGGTATTTTTTAGCTAGATATTTAACGATATCTATTCTTCCGCCTAGACATGCGCCTGTGAGAACCGTATGACCAAATTGTTTATCTTTAACATACGGATCAGAGCCAAATTTCAGAAGTATATCGAATGCATGCTCGTTCCCAAAACAGGCAACGTATTGTAATGCATCAAAACCCTTGTCGTCTGTAATATGCAAAAGAAAGGGATATTTTGAAAGAATGGGTTCAATAAATTGTATCTGCCCTTTAAGACATATTTCCTGAAGTAAACTGTGTCTGCCAGGACTCCACAATGGGTTAGCTGTACACCATGTTTGACGAAGATCTGCAAATTCACACACTTGAAGTAGTAATTCTAAATTACCACTTTCTACGGCATGAAAGCATGTTTGAATATCACATACTGCACCAGAGGACAAAATAAGACTGAAAATATCGTAATGATTTTTTGAGCAAGCAGCGTTAAGTGACCGATATCTTTCATCTTCATTTGAATTTGGATGTAAGTATTCTACCCATCGTTTATTTCCAGCTCTTGAAAAATGCACCATCATTGAATCTCCGTTCGTATCAGAACAACTTTCAAATCGAGAGATACAGGGCTTTGATGCTAACATGTGTTCATTAAAGTGTGAATCCTTCCATAATGCCAACAAAGATATCGACTTGTATTCAGTAACAACCCTTTTTGAAATGATATTAGCAATACGAGATGCCACATCATCAAATAAATCTTGCCCAATTAAAACTTGTGTTTCTGTTCGTTTTTCACTTGTTGACAATTTTTGTAGCAAGGAATGGTGACAATCCTGTATCATTCGCTTAGGATCCAAATAAAAAAGAGCAGTAAAAAGAGACTCTTGCACTGAACTGTGGGAAAACCTACAGATATTTTCTATTGAATCTCGAATGATCAAAAATCCATCATAACAATCAATACTATCTTGGAAATCATTCAGGGAAGACGCCTTTAAACCCACAAATTTTAGAGCGACACGCTTCGTTTCTAAGTCTACGTGAGGTTTATCGATTACTTTGAATTCCACTTTACCCCCACAAAGGAGAAGATATACAAGTACAGCAACTTTTGCAGTCCGATTTTTAAAGAGATTTTTGAAGTAGTCACTCAAAAAAGTCATAGGTTCCATTAGAAACTCAGATATTTTCTGTTTAATGGCTTCATTGTTTCTAGCCAGATTACAACATTGTGGAAATCCTATTGATATAGGCATTTTATCAACCTTAATTAGAAGGTCATTATCATTTATGGTTTTACATAAATTGTAATTTTTTGACATCTGAAGAATTTCTGCTTCTCGCAATGCATATGTGTTATTTGATAGATCAATCATTGATGAGCGAAAAAAAGCATCAATGTTTTCCTTTCCCTTGCTTATATATTCCTTATAAACATCATTTCTTGTTGTAAATATCAAAATGTTTGATTTCCCATAAATATCAGATTTTGTCAAGGCTTTTACCTTTTCAGTTGTTGATGTATATTCTTGAACATCACTGTTTAAAAAAGACCATTCCCCAAACACATTATCAATATAAACTACAATACCATTTCCGGGTGAAATGCTTCCGTACAAGTCTGTGAATTTACTAAGCTGAAGAGGAGGTTTTCCGTCCTCCATTAGTTGCTTCAATAAATATTTGGCTATCGTTGTTTTTCCAGTTCCAGGGTTTCCCGTTAGAACCACAAAGCCATTAGTATCTATCAGCTCCTTTGCTCTGTCAAACGCATAAGTCCTCACTAATAAATGGCTTAAAGCTTCATGATGCATAGATACCATTTTTCGGGTTGTTTCTAAGATGAGGAAAAAAGAATTATAACTTTCGTCTAAAAACACAACACCATTATAATCAATTTTTCCATTATCATACATTTTTTATTCTTGCATGATACATCTAGGTCATATTAAAGATATCCTCTTTTTTTGTCATTACCCTAACAAAACTACTCTAATTAAATTTAATTTACTATAGTTAACTATAATGAACACTCAGACACTATGAAAACTTTGATTTACTATAGTGAACACTTTGATACTTTTATCCACTATTGTAAACACTTTGATTTACTGAAGTGATCACTATGAAATCTTTGACTTATCACGGTGAACACTACTAAAACTCGACTTACTATGGAAAAACGTTGATTTATTATAGTGATAACTTTGAAAACTTTGATTTACTGTAGTGAACACTTTAACACTTTAGTGAAAACTTTGATTAACTATAGTTAACACTTTGACACTTTGATTTACTATAGTTAACAGTAGTAAACTATAGTTTACTATAGTATTTGTTTGTTAGGGAATTTTCTACAGTAACATTTTAAACAGTGGTAATTACTGCATGCTGGTCAGTGTGAGTAATACAGGTAAAAATTCTCATTACATGCAACGAGAAGTGAAGGAATGAAGCAACAAGTAGGTATTCATATTACATTCAATATATTTTAAAATTTACTAACCGATCATGTTAGCTATTCTTGGATCTACAAAGAAAAAAATAATTATTTCACTAAAATATAAGTTAGCAAATCATTACACTTTGTAGAATAGTGGAAATGATTACTTAAACGAGACGGCTGAAAATGATGAGATTTGATAAAATAAGGAGGAAGTAAAAAAAATTTTATAATGATAATTGAATGCATCCTGAATAGCGTCACATCAAGATGGCATGAAAATTGTGTTTCTACTATGCATATTTAATAACGATTAATTAAAAATGTATATATATCTACAGTGTTTTATTCACAACCAGAAAAACTTTTTATACCAATAAATTTTGATTCTACCCGAAAATAAGACTAATAGGTTACTCTAAAGACCATTCGAAGTTAACACATGTAAAATATTTTTTTCAGTGGACATATCCGTTATTATATTACAGTTTATTTTTATTATATTCCACTAGCGGCCAAATCTTGGCTGAAAATGAATAAAATTCACGTTTATAAACCCCAAATTCAAAATTCACAAAGGGCGGGCTTTTTCTTGTCTTCCATATTTTTTTCACGCGTGAATGAACAAAGTCCCTGGGATTTCTGGGATTGTTAGATCTTTTATAGCATTCCTGAAGCAGTCCCAAAGTGCTAATTCCCAGCTTAGTCCTGAGGATTTTTCTGGAATATCTAGATATCCCGCTAGTACTTAATTTCTAATACTACTGTATATATTGATATATGTTGCTCTACAAGCCAGGGCATACGTGACTTTAACTAGCATGCGTTTATTACCACGAGGCAGTATCATCTCTCTCTGGATAGTCTGGATCTGACCTGAAAAAATTCAAGTTTACATAAAATAATACAGGTAAATTACTAAATTAGGTGTATTTCATCAAAATTAGCATAGTAATATCTCTGGTATTTATTATATATGTTATATTATAAAACACTAGTATTCCAAAAAGCAGTACTTGTATATCCATAAACCTTATACAGTTATTGACTGGGTATGAGGGCAACATCTGATTGGTTGGACCTGAAGGTGAAAATGTTGCCCGAGGCTGCAGGCCAAGGGCAACATTTTCACCTTCAGGTTCAACAAATCAGATGTTGCCCTCATACCCAGTCTATAACTGTTTTGTTATACCTTCAGTGCTCACTTAAGATTTAATAAATACATACTATTTTATCAAATACTTTATATGGAAAAATACTGGCTTAATCAGTAAATATAAAACAATAGCTGAGAAAAAACAAAATTAATTATATTTTTATTATATCACAAAAATTATTTTTCACAGAACATATACCCATCCCTTCTTCCTTGCTAGTAGCAACAACTCTTACAGCTCTTAGCTTCGGCTATGTCTGTGTCGCCGATATTGAACGATGATTAATTACTTGTGGCGTAGCAGTGACGTTGCGGTCTAACAATTCTTATGTTGGACCGGCAGGCCCGTCAACAGTGAAATTGTTAAACCGAATGTAATAAACTTTTCTTTTGTTGGACTTTTTATTAGTAATAAATATATAGAAAGCTATTTATAAGGGTATAACAAATTCTTATAACTTTTAACTCCCACGTACTTGATAGATTATCCACCGTCTTATGAAATTCTCTCACATCTCCAAGTAACTCAATGTATTTTTTCTCTTGTTCTGGATCCATGGAGCAGGTTTGTATTGTGTTGATGGCATCCTCGTACACCCCTGTGGTTCCAAGGTAGTTCTCTAGTTCTACAAAGATATCTCGGATGTTCCGCCATTCCGCTCTGAACTTTGATTCGGAAAGAGAAGGATCAGCAGCGTGTCCATAATATTTGTTTCTTAAAAGGCGAAGCCTTTCAATGTTTGCTGCAACACTTTTATCTCCTGGTCTGGGAATTTCTCCCCAACCTTCCGAATGTGGAGGTATTTTACTTACATTTCGTAGAAGTAAGTACAATAAAGATATGTCAAAATCGGAATAATCGCCACTGTATGCTGTTTGTGAGGTAGGAAAAATGATTTCTAAATGTGATCTATTGAGTGGATTTCTTTTTTTAAGTTTAAGTTGTTTGTCTGTATATTCTTTAACTGTTTTTGATAAATCTGACGGCAAAACTTCTTTTTTCAGAATGTCACGCAATACATCGGTACAGGGACCCAGTATGAGCCGTGCCAGTCGAGCAATATTCGTCGTTTCTTGGGTAGACGCATATTTTGATAGAGACATATCAAATATTTAGCAACTGCCAGTTTATGGTATTCTAATCTACAATAAAGAACAAGTGAATGAAAGCATCAATGTTAATGTTTTATAATTACTTAGAAAATCTAAGCGTATAAAAACAAATTCTTTCAATTTGAAATATCAAGAATTAACGTTATAGAAAGGGTATAAGTGTTGAATAGAAAACAAAGCCTTCGCTTGATATCTTCCAAATTTATTCAAGAGTTGAATCCGAAGATTATGTATTTTTCTCATTTGTCGTGTGACTTTTAGGCTTAGTTGAATGGTTGAATTTATTTCATGTAGGCGCGCATGTACAAGTAGTAATAAGTTTTGGGTACCCCTGCTGATATTATTTTTTGTTATAAGGAAAATGGATAAGATAATAAGAATTCCGTCCACAATGTAAACGATAAAATGCTAATGTAAATAATAATCTTGTAAAATTTTAAAGTAATCGGTTTCTCTCCCCAAAATAGACTTTTGTTAACCCGTTTTGGTTGTCTGTCGAAATTTTTCACCAACCATTAAATTGATTTCCAAACTTGAAAATTTGATTCCATCGTAAACAGAACACTGTGTCGCGATATGTCGCTTTTCTATTTTATAGGGAATTTGAATTCGCATAAATATAACTTAAACTTTAATCCATGTAATACATCTTTTACACCTTTAACAAATATTCATAGCTTGCGATTTTCAGAAACTTGTAGGAAAAGGGAAATACATATATGAAGGTAAATTAGGACGCTATAAATTAATACATAAAAATAAGATAAAGAAGATGTTATACAATGTAAATACACATTAAACGTACTTGTAATAAACAAAATTCAGGAAAAATAAGATGAAAGCTTGAAAAGGTGGTACTTACCCTCTATCAAATGTTCCACATCTCAATGCTTCTAATTCGTGTAACATGTAAATACATGTGTGCACAAAATGTATGGAGGACTTAAAATTGAACAAAGTCACAAGATATTTGTGGAATTGAAATAGTTTTACCTTTGAATGTCATTAAAACATGACTAAACAATCACTTTAGAAGGGAGTAAGTAGTTAACGGAAAAACAACCTGATCTTCAAGTAGATGATTGTACAATACCACTTGTTTCATATTCTGACGTTGTTTATGAAAATCAGTGATTTTAAAAAGTTTTTTTTTATTTAACATTAACATTTCAGATTGTGGGAAGAAGGTTTCACTTAACCTAAAGTACTTTCCCTCATGATTTAAATTGAATTCAAATTTCCATATCATGTTACGTGTCAGGCAACTTTACTGTACATCAGATGAGCCTACTGTTTACACACGTCAGCATGTTTAAAGGCTGCAAGATTGCCGTTGAGTACTATTACATCATTATAGTTTATAAAGACTAAGATCTTGCATGTTAACGTTAATGCGTACTTAATTCATAACCATGGTTAATACTTTAGTTTATTCATGTAATTTTGTATAAGTATATTGAATTTATTTATGGAATCTAAAGTGAAAAGGAAATATAACTAAAATTATTCTGCTCCTGTTCTGTGACTGACGAAATTAAGACTTTACAAATCCGTCCTGGTTTTGTTTATTGTAGTCTGTTCTTTCCTCTGCAAAGCTCTGTATCTGTTTGTTAGCGTGCTTTTAATGGAAATCTTATTAAAGTTCCTCACCTTATTGTATTTAATGATAAAGAAATTAAAGATATCTCAAATCAATTTTTATTGGGTTAGTGCAATGTCAGTTGGGAATGTAAAAATATCCAGACGTATATATTAAGATCAAAGTAATTTGAAGTTGTAATAATCATGTGTTGTCATCAGTTTGAGACATAATTTTTTTTAATTTAAGAAAAAACCAAAATAAATTCAAGGACACAAGAGTTAAATTATAATAAGGAGATTGTCCTTTGTTGTGAATAAATACAGTTTTAAAAGACAATATTCTTAATTTTTATATGTTTTGTTTCTAGTTCAAAATGTCTAGGAAGATAATTCAGCATAACCAAGAATATTCACAATACCCACAAATGTTATAACAAGTCGTTTTAAACCAAGATTATTACATTTTGCATCATTACATTTCGTGTCAAGGGAAACTAGCTGTATTAATTTAAAATGTATTGAGGAACGTCGGTTGTACTGACATGTACATTTAATTTGCTTTTTTAAGGGAATGATAAATACTCCTCTTTTAAAATCGCAACTAAGGATTTTGATGTCCACTTTCGCCTTGATATTTAATTGTCTTCGTCCTTTTCATTATTTGGGTATTTTCCCCCCGTATTATTTCTTTCCAAAGTCAGACTTATCTTTTAATATCAATTCAAAGTAATTTTATTGTATTGGTACATTTATTCTAATTTTTGGAAAGTATCGCAATGATTGATTAACGAAAATTCAATGTGTACTTAGAAGACTGGCGTATGTCTATTTGAATTCATAAAATTGATTATTTAATATATCAAGACATATTACACTTCTATATGATAATGTTTTAATGGCTGGGATATTAATAAGAACTTAAACAAGGACTGTCTCTCTGTGTTTCGCTCATTTACTTTTATCATTTTTTTAAAAATTTTATTGTCAATTTCCGCAAGCAAGTAGTGGCGTCTTTATATGAGTGAAAAATTCTCCAGAGAGACGTTGAACAAATTACAATCAATCAATCATCTTGGAGAATCATCAATTTTTAACCGTAAAACCAAACCTACCTCTCAAAGAGAATTCCCAAACATAACGCACAAAGGTAGAAACTGCATTATAGATTTACAAAACATTACTATACCTAATGATCATGAGAAGATCAGGACAATCAACTTTGATCTGAGGTATAAATTCCAGAGCAATCCTAAAAAAGCATTCAAGATCTTGATAAATAAACACGAGCGGTTTTCATAAATGCAATAAATTTAAAAACTGAAATCAAAGCGTCTGCACAATAACAGAAAAATACCAAACATAAACATTGGGAAGTCCCCTTACAAGCAAGACGCGTTTTGGAACGTGATGAATGGATTTTAAGTTCTTGCTTAAGGCATCTTTTTTTAAGTAACGATATTTTCGAGGGTTGGGATTCGAGCCCGCTCCCTAAGTATCAACTCTTTACCTTGCTCCTAAAGAGCAGACACATCAATTTCTCGAAGAATACTGACCACAGTAATGACTCTGAAGATATGGTCAGCGTTGACGTAATTTTCTTCGAGAAATAGATGCGTCTGCTCTTGAGGGGCGAAGTAAGGAGTTACTACCATTAATCGCGGGTTCGAATCCCAACCCTAAAAAATATCATTACCCGTAAAGGGTCGAGTTTCATATTCTGCTCCAAGTCACTAAACAAGATCAAGCTATTTGGAGGAAAGATTTGAAAAAGCTCTCAAAGCAAGTTAAGACAAATAGTGCAGATACATTGAGCTCTCATTGGAAACGATGTTGAAGAAATAGATCCTACTGACGAAAAACTTCAGGAAACTTACCTTTCAAGCTATAAACCAAAAAGTAAAAGGAAATTGTGTGTGTGACTATGATATGAAAACAGAAAGTTTAATAAATGGATAGTTTGATGTAATGTCTGCTGTTTTTATTTTCTGCGTGCACCCATAGTTCTCTTAATAAAACTGCAACGAAAAACACCGTATGAATTTGATAACAATCATTTCATTAAAAACAATATTTATCCTGAAAAAATAAGGATTTATTTCATTCATTTTATCAGATCAATTTAATGTTAGAAGAGGAAAACAATTGAATTGTCCTTACTTTTGACATTTAGATATACCGGCGAGGTATATATAAAATATTTGATAACTGTCTTGAAATATAAGCGATATTTGGGCGAGGGTAAGAAAACGAGATAGAGGGCGAGGCTTGCCGAGCTTCTTACGTTTTCCACCCGAGCTTATAAATATCGCTTATATGATAAAAATAAGCAAGAGCATGCTCTACATATGAACAATTTCTACAAGTAGGTAAATTAATGATAAACAAGTTGATGAAACAAGACGTTCATCAGTCTCGTTTAAAGTCATTATTTTGTAAGTTCTATGGTCGATACAATGACCTTGTAAGCATATACAATTAATCATTGAGTCAAATGCTGCCTGACGTTTTTTATACTAATTGTTACTAATTGTAGTCCATTATTTATACATTAAATTGACTACGGATTTTCCCATTATTTCCCGAACATGACAAAGAGCATACGGTGGGTGTGAAAGGTCGGCAGAGGATGCTCACTCCTCCATGGCTCCTATTCCAACCTCTGATGATTTGATGGTCTGTGATAGTTCTGCACCTTTTTTATATTGTTTTGTGGACTTCTGATCTGACAAACTGTGCGTTTTCTTCATATGTTCCATTTATGCAGTCGGTCGGGATAGAGAAACCAAACAAACTATTTAAATATGGCCTAAACGTGAAGACATTCACTGTTCTATTTTCAACTTTTCCTTACTATGTAGCATTATTCAATTATTACCAGAAGATGGGGTTTACGTTTCACACCTGAGTCTAGAAACAAGAGCATGCTTATGTGAATCGGAAGCAAGAAAAAAGCAAGTTATTGCCAAACAAATCGAATAATCAAGAATATAAACCCCTTGAAAATCTTTAATTCGCAAGTTATCTGGTCGATACAAGGACCATGTCAGCAAAAACAATATACAATTATGTTTAACCTGAGAAATGCTTTTTCATACTTACTTTAATGCTATTATAATTATTTAAATAATATATATGGCTACGTATTTTTCAAACATGACAAAGAGCACACGGCGATTGTGAAAGGTCGACATGGAATCCGGGCTTGTGTAAGTCTCACTGTTTCAATTGTAATTTGGAAGAAGAATTTGATTTTTTTCAACCTCTTGAAATCTACCCTTCCATACTTACAGTTCCCTTTCAAAGGAAGAAATTTTTCAACATCAAATTTAGTGCTAATTCCCTTTAATCAACATATATTGGCAACTAATTATAAGGTGAGTTTGATCAATCCTTATTTACTTTTGGATTCTTAATTTTCATTTTATAACCTTACAAATGTACATTGCTAGGTTTAATAAATGCTCTTATCTTATTCTCCTTATAACTTCTGGCATACAGTATGACAGCATATAGCACAGGTGCATAGACGTTGATTCAATCTGTTGTTGATATTAAAAAGCAGAACTTCTTAAATTTTTAAAAAAATTTCAAAATCAGATCCCTATTTTCTACATTTTGTCCAATGAAACCTCACAATAAAGTAAAATCTAGACTTTTTGATACCATAGGCAACAACTGAATCAATACAAGAGGAAACTTGAGATTAGTCATCAGTAGAACCGCTTCGTCAAAGCAGCTCTGATTATACAGAGAAGTACTCTAGTCTGAAGCTAAAATTAGGAAAAAATAAAGAGTTTTTCAATTGTACTCAGTTTATCGACGATTTTATATTAATAGTTTTGAATTATAGTAAGGTTCATTAATATTTCAACTCAATTGTTCCCCGTGAACTAAAATCATAAGTGTTGAAAAATCAAGGATCAACCGGGACTCGATTCCAGGGCCTCTGGCGTACCGTGCGAGCGCTATAAACCGCTGTGCTATTGAGAACCGATATACTTACTGACTTCCATGTATGTTTGAACCCTGTGACAATAAAATTTAAGATATCAGAGAGTCTGCCACGTCTGTTCATATTTGGGTTTTTTCTAACTATCAAAAATTAAAGCCAATAAATAACTGAATGATTTGATCTTACTTGTTCTGAGTAGGATCAATTTTTAAAGCGAGGCTACTCACTTGTGGACACGTGTGGCTTATCAGCAGGGGAAGTCTCCTTCCCTTACATGTACATGTAGGAACGGAAGCCCAATATTGCAAACAAACAAAAAATAAAGAAAGAAAAAGATGGGTAGCACTATTGGACTTCCGTATATATGCCTCTTTTTCCGTCCAGGGTTTTCCACAAGGGGTTTTACCATGGCGGCCCGCCATGGTTAAAGAATGACTGCACTTAAGTACGTCATTTTGAATCTTTTCGG